GGTCCTCCACCCTTAACCATAGAATGTTCTTTTTACAGCAGTCAAAAAGTATGTATTGTAAACATTCATGCATTTGACATTTAATATTGATTTGGCCTTTTTTTACAAAATACGAATCAAAGTTGACTTAATTAATAAAACAATATTTTTCTGCTTATAAATTAATAATTAAATACGCTTATAAGTTTTACTTGCAAAACTGTCCCTTTCGCATGATGAGATTCTAGATCAATGGTTACTAATTAATATTTATTAAGCATTTATATAAAATAAACGTTGTTAATAATAATTGCACAAGACTGATTTTTTAAAAAAATTGTGTCCTTATGATTGAACTTGTAGCAATAAGTTAAACGGTTAATTTTAAGAATTCCAAAACAACTGTTAAAATGTATACTCACAAGTTTTCTTACCAATTTTAATATACATGTTTAAATTTTAATGAAATGTAGCTATATCTAAAAATATGATTAATGCTTTCTTCAACAAATTTATAAAGGTTTTCTACATTAGCCTCTATTTCTACATTCTATAGCCTCTATATACTCTATAGCCATATAATATAGAATATAAAGGAAATGGAAGCTAATGAAAAAAATATATTGTAGAATATCATACTATGCAGTCGATATTTAGTCATTGAATAAAATTTCATTTTTTTTCTAATTAAAAAGAATTCATTAACTTTTTTTAAAATCTTTTCAGTATTTCGATTGAATTTTTAAAAGGCTGAATTTAGTTTTTACTAGGCAAATATTTGTGAGCAAAATATAATGTATCTAGATTTTAAATATAAGCAATAGTTCAACAACATCAAAGGCATTAAAGCAAATTTTATTAAAATACTAAGCTAAACAAAATTTTAAAATAGTGATTTTGAAAACTAAGAAGCGTAACGAAAAGTCTTTTAAAAGATTTGTATGAAAAGAATTTTTTAAGTTAAAGAAAAAGAACTTAAATATTTGAAATATTCTAAAGAATAAAAAAAAAGTTATTTTTAAAGGATAATTTTCTATATTCTTGTGTCATTGAACTTTATTATTTTTATTAGATGAATGTTTTTTTAACTCATAAGAACAACATTTAAGACAGATTAAATGTTATAAAATTATCATAATTTATTACTTTTCATTTATTATTTTTCATTTATTATCATAAAAACATTATCTTTGAACATTCGAACTTTATAAGTTACTTTTGACGTAATGGAAGATTTCTTTTTATTTATATTATGAAACTTTGTTTTCATGTTTTTTATTTAATAATTATACTAAGCATTTTTTTTTTAATTTTATAAAGTTCTTATCTTTATGTTATTTCTTAGTGTTTGTTAGAAATTTCTTGGAATTGCATAAACTAACTTAGCTTAATTTTTGTGATATTTTATTATCACACTAGTCGAATTTTTATGCGTTCTAAAATTGTTCAAAAATTCTGAAACCATAATATGTTTCTTAATTTTACCATGATGTCGTTTCTAAATGTTGTTTAGAGAATACTATGAATCAATTTCAACAGAAACATTGTTTAATTTAAAAATTTATTAAAGCTGCAGAAAAGTTTCACCACAATATGCACCGCAAAAATTTCGAATCAAATTTCTGTAAAAAGTACTGGCACCCTGAGTGCAGCTTCCAGAAAATCCATTGCACCACAAAATCCATTTTGATAGTTAAATATTATATTGTAATTGTTATAGCAATATGTAATTAAATACATTTATTTAGTAAATGTTATTAAAAAACTGCAGTACATGACCTTTTGCTCCGTAAAATATTATAGTAAAAATGAATTTTACGGAAAAATGGATTTTTATAAAATGGATTTAAAAAGTACTAGCACCTAGGGTACTGGTATTTTTTACAATAATTTTATATGGAATTTATTACCGCGTGATTAAAGATTGAATTTAGAATTACAGAAAATTTCTAAAGCACTATTCACTATAAAAATTTCCGAAACAAATTACCGGCAGTCAGGGTACTTGCATCTTGACTACGGCATCTATAAAATCCGTTTTGCCTTAAAATCCTTTCATACAGTGAACTGTATATCGTGAACTTGATCTGTGAACTGTATATTTCTTCAATTACAATGATTCAGTAAATGTTATTGTAAAAATTACGGTGCATGACTTTTTGCTCCATAAAATGTTATGCTAAAAATGGATTTTTCGTTAAAAGTACTACCACTCCGAGTGCCGATACTTTTTATAGTGATTTCTTTAGGAATTTTTTAGAGCGTGATTGAAAATTGAACACATTTTTCTGAGAGTTTAAACCTGAAAAACCCATGTATTGAACTTAATGTTTACCTTTGTAACTTGACTAAGAAGAGAAAGAGAATCCCAAGTCAAGCATATCGACGATTTCATGAACGACGTTCTTAATGGAACTAACCTACGTGCTCGTTACATGGGAACGAAAACTATGAAAACCACTTTCATGTTTATTGTGTAGGAGAAAGGAGCTCCAGCCTATTATTCTTTTACCGATGGGGATATTTTGAATCAAAAGTATGACAGTCAAAATATTAAACATGTAACCACAGAACTCAAACCGGAATTGCCTGTGTCAAAAATGTTTGACATTTGTCTGACTCTTGGCTATATACAATCGCATTTTAGCAATGTCACCCCGAGCACACAATGCACATCTTCATAATAGAGAAAACCAAATTAAATTAATTCTAATCAATCTTCCATGGGGAACAAATAAGCAAAAATTATATTTCAAATTAACTAACTACAGTTTCCATACAGTTTCGATCGTTTCATTTGTTTAAAATCTTGATTTATTTAAAATAAAAATTTAAAGCCTGTTCCAACAAAAAATCCTCTTTAAACCATATGAGCACAATTTTCGTTTTCATTAAGTTGTTAATTTAAATTTTTAAAAATATTTTGCTTCATTTTTTAATTAAGAAGTGTTCAATAAAAGTTAAATCCTTAATATTAAAAATGTTAAAGCCTTGCTACCAAAGTTAAAATTTCAAGGCTGCTAGTACTATTAAAATTTTCAAAATTCAAGTTTTAAAAGTTCTTAAAGTGTTAATATTTTAAATTTGTCAACTAAATTCAATCGGACATATTGTAATGATTAAAAAGAAGAAAATGTTTAAAAATATGAGTTAGTTTCTTCAAAAATAAAGACGTTGCTTTTATCAAATTCCCGTAAAATGCAGGAAGCATACTGTAAAAAATTCCGGATCAAATTACGGTAAAAAACATTCATTTGATAACGTCTTCGTTCATATGGCAACAATTTTCCAGAAATTTTGGTTCTCAAAATTACAGTTCTTATTACCAAACGTTTAGTAGAAAGTACAAAACTGAAAAGTAAATTTTGCCGAATAAATATTTTGTATACCATACTCTAAACTATCATGATAAAATGAAAATTTTATTATATTTGTCAAACTTTATCACGTATTATAAATTCATACGTATTGTAAATTTTACTATAATCATTACCAAAGAGATTCAGTAAATATTACCGAACTGATTTGTGTTCCATTGAGCTATAAACAAGCTAAATTTTACCATATTTTGGTAGTTTTAGCCATTCTTTTTGTTCTATGTGTGATCTTTGCGACCTCATACGGAACCTGACAGAAACAAAGAGCCATGCTGATATGTTTGATTAACGTCTTACATAATTTAATTGGGTTAAATTGTCTACAGAAGCAGCACGTTTTTTGCAAAAGTTGTAAACACAACATAGAGTCATGGTGATACGTCAATGAATTGCGTTTTAAACATGATGAAAGCATGTGGGGCTGTTTACTCTTTGATTCAAATAGGACACTTGTGTTCCTTTTATTTGTATTTTTTAACGCTCTAAGAACAAGTAAAAATATATTCTGCTATTTTTTAATTATAAGAACAGTCTAATAGCTACTAAAAAGATCTCTTAGATTACCTGAATTAAATTTGCACTAGACACCGGTGTGTCATGCTGTATTTCATAACCATGAATTATTAAAATGATGAATATAATATTTATCTATTTATTCTGTCGAAAATTAATACAAAATTGTGACAAAATGTGTTTAATAAAAATTCTGCGTCAAATGGTTAAATGTATAATGTATTCTCTGAATACTTAAAGGAAAATTCGAGGGCGCAAATAAATTTTCACTATATTATTTCATCCATATTATTTCATCAATCTTATTGTAAATTATTCCATTTCAAGAAATCTAAACAATTTGAACTTCTCCAACAAAGCTTTTGTTAAAGAAAAAAAAAGAAAAGATGTAACGCTTATTATTAAATTTTAAGAAATTTTAAATAATTCTGTTAATTAGACTTTCATGGGAATTTTTTTTCTTCCAGAATCTTCATTTGGAATCTTATATAACTATAAATATTTTTTTGGAAATTAATTAAGGATTCCTAACAAACATAATACGTTAAAAGCAAATTTAAGTTAAAAAATAATTGAAAATACATAATCATTATGAGTTTAGTTCTGTTATCATTTAGACATTCATTCCCTAATTAGGCTTGTCCAATTGAAATAGTAAAATACTACTTACGTTATTCATATTAAAATAAATTTTAAGTTAAATTTAAATCTTGACTATTTGTTGTTGTATTATGTTATACATATGTGTATGTTAGTGCATTGAAATTAAGTAGCAAATTTTTAAAATGCTATTTGATTAATCTAAGCAAAAAAAAACAGTAAACTTTACACTAGAAAAAAGTTAAATGACTGTATATAAGTATTATAAAATTGCTATGAAAGAATTTATTTTTTATCAAAGCGATTCTGATGGAATGATTAAATGAGAAATTCTAAAACATATCTGTGCAAATATTAAAAAAATTTTAAAACAATTTGTTATGAAACGGTTTTAAGGTAATTAAAGTAAAATAAACTGATGCTGTTCAGTTGCAGTTTCAGATATTTCTGAGTTACTTTAAGTTAAAGAAAGTGAATGAATCAACGTAGTTTTTAATATAATTTTAAGATGTAGTTTAATAAAAAAAATACCTTCAGTGCAATTAATACCAGTCCATCCTGCGTCACAAAGGCATCTGTCAGGACTAACGCAGTTTCCATGAATACATTCCTTCTCGCAAAAGGCTAAAATATTGAAAAATTATTAATTTATATTCTAATAATATTTTTAATCATAGCATTTAACTGCAATTTTTAATATGCAATAATTCTAAAATATTTTACGAAACATTTGAATCTAGAATTTTTTTATGATCCTTTATACTAATTATTATATGAAATTGACAATGTTTAAAAATCGTTTTGCAATAATTCCGAAATAATTATAACACTCAATTATCTTCATAAATATTTTTTAAGGTAGTAGCTTTATTTTTCGGAGTAATTAATGAGCTCATAACTTTTACTATTAATGGAATTTACAAAAAAAATGAATAAATAAAACAATTCTTTAGCTTTAATGCACGATAATTTTAAATAATTGAAAGATCTTTTTTCAGGCTATAGCGTAGCTACCACTACAATTATTTAATTCTAATTCACTAGTAATTCCAATTCACTATTCTGGTATATGACCTTTAGATATATGACGGTTGACATTGTCGGTAGTCTAGCCCCACAATGTCAATACCAGAAAACCACCTTTACTGTTAACATTTAAGTTTCTTATTTTCTTTACTTTCTTTTTTTCACCATTTATTTTTAAAAAAATACAATTTATAACCAGATTTTATTTTAATCATCATTGTCAACGTATAATTAAAGAAATTTTAAACCCCTCTATTTATGCATAATCATTTGAAGTATTTATTTTCAAAAACCACTACCCATAATTATGAAATTTTGAAATTCCTGTGAATCTAAACTGTGAATCTAAAATTTTTTAAGATTATTTAATTTACCTTTCTATTTTATCATTATATTAACATGATTTCCATATCATTAAAATAAATATCACATTTGTAACTCAGCGAAGCAACTTTTAATATAGGCAAATATTAATTTTGTTTCATTGTATTAAATGAATTTAAAGTAAAATTGTTAAATTTATCTTAATTTATTTGAAATCATTTTCAGTAATTATTTTTACATAACTGTGCTATTAATACGGAATATTTTTTACACTTTCGACATTTAAAAAACGGAATGAATTAACGGAATGGTAATTCTGAATAAAATGCAAAAGACATTCTTAAAGAAACCCTTGCAAATATAAATATTTTCAGGTGAATTAATATAGTCTAATTATTTAATCATACAAATTTTTTTATAATAAAGCATATGGTATAGATACCATTACTTCATGTACTAAGATATTTCAAATCGACAAACACTTTTATAGAAAAAAAACTCTTATTTGCAAATTAAACATTGAAACTTAATAAAGGCGTTATACTTTTGTAAATTGCTTCTAAATATTTAGATTCCTTAGAGATGCATAATCGTTAGCGAAATGATTAAATTAATGCACATTATAAACCGAAATCATGTTTTCTATTCATAATTTGCAAAATATTTAGAAAATAAAATTTGAATAACTCTTTTTTTTTAAATATCATCTCAAGAATAGATAATTATCCTCTCTTGCTTTCATAATTAATTAAAAACAAAATCGTAACATTTGTTTCCTCGATATCTATTGTTTAATACATCCCACATAAAATCGGTTAGTCGCGTTTGTTAATAATGTTTCATAAAAAGAATTGAAGTTGTAGAAATTTAAAAGCAATTAAAATGAAATTAGTTTCTATTGCTCAAAGCATTTCGCAATAATCTTGATTTCAGTTTTAAAAACTGTATGCAATAAAATGCAATAATTTTATATCGACATCAAAATTTAATTTCACGTTATTTTTTAATTTTTAAAATCATATGCTTCGGGAAATTTTACTTTTCATTTAGATATGTATTTTAACTTTATAAAAATGTACATTTTGGTGATTATTCATTTGTTTAAGCTAAACAAGAAATCATTTTTACACTGAAAAAAGGATGTTCAAAATTACCAGCATATGATAAAATTTATCGCATTTCTGGCTCTAATAGAAAACCAGAAAGCTCGGTAATTTTTACCGAAACGCTTTGGTAATGATTTTGACAAAATTAATTATGAAATCTGGTTTTTTAATATGTAATAAAATTTGGTAAATGCGTTATAACTTGGCAATTTTTATTGTTATATCTTTGAGCATGGCATAAAAGCCATTTTTGTAGTTAAATTTACTTTTTAGATTTGTATTTTTTACTTAATGTGCTGAAATAAGAACTATAATTTTAAAACCAAAATTTCTGCTAAACTGTTATGTTATGAATTACTAAATGAATAAAAAATTACTAAATAAATGGTTAAAATACCATTTACTTTGGTTTTATTAACCATAATTAACGTATTTTTTATATTAAAAATATCACTAGCATGCAGTACTGTAATTTTAGCACTTTTCTTTTCCTCGTGTACTAAAATGGTTTTTCTGTGATGTGGTAGGCTTTATTTTAAACTTTGAGTCGTTTTATTCTAAAATTTTGAAGTACTGCTTGAGACAGAACTTCAGTTTCCCCTTTCTTTGAAGGATCAGAATTACTTCTCACTTCCCTCTCTCTTTATATATATATATATACAGTCGGACTTCTATTTAACGAACTTTCATTTTCCGAATTTCTCTATTTTGCGAATTTTTTCGAGGGACCAAGAACATTTTGGAAATTTCTTCGTAAAATAACTTCTAAATAGCGAAGTGAATTTTCTATTTAACGAACTTTTCTTTGAGATCCATTTTCCCTATTTCCCAAACTATTTCAGAACATTTTAAAATTGTTAACGCATTTCATTGGGGAATGACCTTAATTTGATTTTCGAAGTTTAATCACTTTTAGAGAAAGCAGCAAAATTTCGTTCCCTTTTCAACGAACGAAAAACTCAGACTAAATTAATAACGGATTTTATCAATAGCAATTAAACGTGAGAACGTGCGTGGTAATGTATGTTTAAAATTACTTTTGCAATAAATGCGGCTATAATTTAATACATAAATTGAGATTTTTTTAGTTGAAAATGTATGTAGCATGATAGTGTAACACTGGATAATGTTTTACTCTATTCTTGCTTTTCATGCAGATTTCTTTTATGGTTAAGATTTATGAGAGAATAAATGGTAGATACTAGTTTACTAGATAAAGGTGTATCAATTACCATTTTNTTATATATATATATTAATCGCAAAATAAGGGATTTCCCTGATAAAGAATTTTGGGCAAACTCACCTGAATGGAAGACTTTTTGATGAAACTAACTCACATGAGGGTTGCAAAGCGAGGAAAACTGCGAAAATTCCTAAGAACTCGATGGAAGGGAGATTCTAACTCATGAACCGCCTACCACTGCTGCCATTTTACGTCAGCACAGCAGTCGGAAACAGAGTACGAATCGACACCAACTGTTATTGGAATTCGAACTCGAACTATACCCCTTGAGCTTCCCCTCTTCGATTCATATGATTCATATTTAGGTCAGATAAAATATATTATTTTTGTTTAGTTACATACATACTACCTCATGCACAATTACAATTAAACGTCTAACTTACGGTGACAAGTTCCGTTTCTCTCTTCATATCCAAGGCAGCATTCTCTAATTGTTTTAGTGAATTCAACAGCTTCTGTTCTATTAACCCATACAGTTTTAGTTCTAGAATGTTAATTAGAATGTTAGTGTAAATATTATAAAACTAACATGTTTAAAATCTTTAAGGACGTGTTAATGTAAAAGAAACTGTACATTTCTAAATTGTTAAGAAATAGATTTTGAAATAATACTTGATATGTAACAATGACAATGGTAATATCAATAACACTTACTCATGATCGTAGCAAAGGATAGAACTAAAGCAAAATCTCAGTTTTCGTTCTTGAACTGTTTGTGAGTATGGAGCTGTTACATTTTTTGTATACCTGTACAAAAATCAGTATTATTTTGTAGTCAAGAAAGCAATATGCAATATGAAAATATCGGAATGCATTGATGTAAAAATAATTTTATGACCAAAAAATTACGTTAAATGTTACTTAATATTTGAGGATTGAACATTACGTGACAATTATTGCAGCTGAATTTCTCATAAATTCTTTTTAAGAAAACTGATGTGTGTCTAGGTAAATAGGGTTACGTTAAAGAAAGAAAAATCAAAAGTGAACTTAAATGAGTTACTTAAACGCTAACCAAACATTTTGTTATTTGAGCCTAAAATGAACCATACAACGTGGAATATTTATTTATAATTCAGGAAGTAGATAGCTTACAATACAGCACCATTTAAAATAGGAAGGGGTTCTCTTAGAATTTTCCATCGGCTACGCTGTAACATTCTTTTATTAGTTCAAATTTTCTTCTTTCCATTTGCACTGTTAGAATTTTGCCCGAGCCGGGATAGCCTGGATGGTAGGGCGTTCGGCCCATGTCCAAGAGGTCGCGAGTTAGATCCTCACCGGACGAAGACTCCTCGTCTAGAAAATTGTGACTGGTGCACGTTAACTCTGTGGGGGTCACAAAGTCTTCCAAGTTCCTATAGCAAATCAATACCTCTGGTGGTACTGAATTGGAGATTGATCGCTCTCTGGTTCAGGTCAAAACTACGATCTGTGGGTGAAAGAATGGATGTATGAATGGGTTAAAACACCCTTTAATTCCGCCTATGACGCGTTATGTGAGTGAAATCGCATTTTTTACCATAGATGGTGGCACTGAAAAACAAGAAAAGCCACATCTGCCTTAAATTCGCTAGATTTCACCAATCAGACTTGGTTATATTTGGCAAGAGGCATTAGAAGCAGCAACTGTAAAATTATCTGTCTGAAACTACTATATAATAACCGCGACAGCAGTCTGTTTCTGCAATTAACCCTGAGATTAACGGCAAAGAATTTTTTTTTACCTTCATCGCATACAACTTGTATGGTTGAAAAAGCCATGAATACAAAACTGCACAATATTTTAACCATTTACCTATTTTAACGTGACATCAAAATCCAAGTCAAAGAGATTTAATTCGACATTAAACTTAGGCTTTTCGCTTGGTAATTAGTGAGAATGTGGTTGAATTGTGTTTTATCAAATGAATGGTAGGATGCGGTTCAATTAGTTAATCTGGTTGTTTCATCCGTAAGAGATGAGAAATACTAGACTATTCATGTTAAGCAACTTTATGTTGCTGCCATTTATGCTTGAATGAGACTATCGTACTTTAATTGTCCTGGGTAACGAAGCTGGGTGTGCAGGATGCTGCAAACCCTTCTTGTGTTGAAGAAAATGGAGGAAACACTGCGGTGTCTACGCAGGGACTTGAACCTCTGCAACTTTATGTTGCTGCTATTTATGCTTGAATGAGACAATCGTACTTTAATTGTTCAGGGTAACAAAGCTGTGCGTGCAGGATGCTGGAAACCATTCTTGTGTTGAAGGAAATGGAGGAAACATTGCAGTGTCTACGCAGGGACTTGAATCTCTGCAACTTTATGTTGCTGCCATTTATGCTTGAATGAGACTACCGTACTTTAATTGTCCAGGGTAACGAAGCTGGGTGTGCAGGATGCTGGAAACCCTTCTTGTGTTGAAGGAAATGGAGGAAACATTGTGGTGTCGAAGCAGGGATTTGAACCTCTGTTTGGTCTGTCATGATATTGACAAACCAACTTTCTCAGCTATTATATGCACCCAGCTGAGGGAACTAAGTGGGTTTACTTGGTGCTATGAAATTCTGGTTGTTTTACCATATTTGATGAAAGCAGTTAATAAACAGTTTTCTCACAGTTAACAGTGTAACTACCATTTTTAGAGTTGTTTCAATATGGTAAAACAACAATTTAATAAATTGTTCAACTATTTTTTCCGAGAAATTTCTAACAGTGTTAAATTGATACGAGTCTATTTGATATCTGATGTTAGAAAAAAAATAGGAAATTTTGCCAATGTCTGTCTATTCTGTTATCAACCAAAAATCTGAGTTAGAATTATTCAAAATTCACTCTCGAGTTGGCTCAAAGATGGAACAAACGGAAAAATCCATTATATTCAAGCCTAGCTTGCCAATATCGTGTGGTTAAAATTCCAGCAAAATAGCAACACTTTTTTATTACCTCTAGCTCTTAGGTCATAGAGCAGATGCCTGTTGGAAAGTTTATTTTTAATTTCCAGACAACATTTGCATCGAATGAAGTATTGTATTCTCCAAAATAAACTTTTATAGATTGCAATAAAATTACTCGGTTTTAAGAATGTTTAAGTTATTTCTTTCCAAAGTATTACAAACCTGTCATCCCAAAATGTCTTAACATGAGTAGAAAAAATTTAAACAATTAAACAAACGATTTCGAACGCAGAATGGAACCTTAGAAGATAAGTTGGAATTTATCATAAAGTAAACAGAGGTGTAAAGCAAAAGGAAATTATTTTCTGAATAATGAAGAAAAAGTTTATAAATTCCTTCGAATCAAAAATTTATCCGTTGTTTCATTCTTCTAAACTTTATAACTCATTTCCAACTATCAATTAACTAATAATAATTTAACACTGTGCAAAACACTAATGTAATATAAATGTTTAATTTTTTCAAATTTTATCTTAATAGTTTGTTTTTTAATTCGCAGTTTCAAATTTTGCAGCCTGAAAAATTGCATCTAATTTATCTGGAATAACCACATATATGTCATATTCATTAAATATTTGGAAATTTCAAGAAGGAAACGGATTTGAAAGGGGGAAATGGTGAAATGGAAAAAAAAATTTCGACATTTAGAAAATGGATTTCGTTTTAAAGCATGCTCTTGAAATTTATGTTGTTAACCATTTTTAAACACTTAAAATATCAACAATCATATTGTATTTAAAAATAGCAATAATAATGTTGATATTCATACAACTATACAATACATAAGGTTTAAAAATTCCATTTTTATTAAAGTCATAAAAATCTAGCCAAATAAAAACTTTTAAAAATGCTTTTATATAATTTTCTGTGGGATATTTTTGAAAGACTAATATTGTTATTATACCATTTTTAATTCAATCACATTATTTTAAATAAATATATTTTCTTTATAAGATATTTCATATCTTTCGATGGATATAAAATAATGACTAAATTATTTTATTCGAAGAAAAATATATAAATTAGTTTCAGACTTTTAAAACAATTACGAAGCAATTTAATTTTTTACGTAAATAAATACAGACTAAAAGAAATATTTTTATGCTACTACTTCAGGCTTATCGCAAATATTTGAAATACATAAATTTTAATGAGATTGTGTAAAAATGTTTTTTTTTTCATTAAAAGAAAAATAATGAAAAAGTAATGAAAATAATGAAATTGGATCCGGATTAGTAATTTAATCCATGTGCATTTAATTGTAAAATTGTTTTCTGTAGATATACATATTTTTCTAATATTTTATAACTACTTTTTAAAGAAACTATCGAGATAAAACCTAAGATTTGGAATCATCCATTTCTTTCAAACTCCCCATTTCCTTGCGATACTTCATGTTCACAGAAACAGGTGATTGCATACTTTTCTCTTACATTTATTGTCATCTTTAATATGGTTTTTTAATAACTGATTTTGCAAACAAATGGTTTCTTTTTACTACTTTCCTTTTAAAGTAGTTTTATTGACCTTAGTGTTAATCATAATCTAAAACTAGATACAAACTGGAATAACTTCATTATTTGAAATTATAATAAAAAAGAACTGTTTGTCCAGCTTATCAATAGTAATATATACGCCAATTGTTTGATTTTATTAACTTTAATTTTTATTCACAATTGTTTAATGCATATCCTAAACGTAATTTCGTAGTTAGCTCTCGAGGCGAAATTCTTTTAATTTTATGCAGCATTGGAACTATGCAGTTAAACTCCACTTTCAATTCAATTATCAATATAATTTAGTACTCTTTCAGATATCTGACTAACTATGCGCGTCATATTACAAATAATTAGCTCATCAGGCAGGTTGTCATGATTCAATAAGTGTATAATATTTTTAAAATGCAAATAGGTTTTAAAAATAAATGCTTTCAACTAAAAAAAAATTTTATTTTATTTAAAAATAATGTAATTTTCTGGACTTACCTCACTAATCTCATGCATTCATTGGCGCTTACGGTTTCAGCTTCAGTGTTATAAACTAACATGTTACCCACGGAAAATGCTAAAATGCAGAATGTAATGTACATTTTAATATAAATCTGAGTGTTTCATTTGTTCTCAGTTCACTCCCATAGTTCTGAAGCAAAAATTAAAGCTGTTATTATTTTCTTCATACTTAAAATACTTACAGACACAAGCTTACCTGAAAAATACATGCACGTTTCTACTCAAAACACTAGATGAAACCATCTCTTGTTTGCTGTGCCCCACCCCCCTCCTGGCATGACTTCTCATTCATTATTGTTTTTTCTCCATAAAAGTCAATGAAAAAGATAACATTGTTTATAAAATACCTAATTAATATAATTACTTATACGCACAATATCTTATATATTTTAAAATAGAAATATTTCTAAACTTAGTAATGCAAAATGTGCGACAAAATAGGAAGTAATATATGAGATTTAATTTTTGCTTGTGAAATTATATACACCGAAGAGCCATTACATTATGACCACCCTGCTAATAACATGTAGGACCACCTTTGGCCCTCAAAACTGCTAGCATCCGCCGTCGCATTGATTCCACAAGGTGCTGATAGGTAGTCTGAGGTATCTGGTACCAAGTGCTGACCAACTGGTCCTGCAATTCCCTCACTTTGAGAGGGCGTAGCATGGCAGCACGAATTTGATTTTCCAAGTAGGACCACAAATGCTCTATTGGATTAAGGTTAGGTGAATTTGGGGGCCAAGACATGACTTGGAAGTCACTGGGATGCTCCTCGAACCAATCCATGACGATTCGACCCTTATGACACGGTCCATTATCCTGTTGGTAAACACCATCCCCCGCAGGAAAAACTGTTGCCATGAATGGGTGAACCTGGTTTGCAACTATGTTCAAGTAGCTAACAGACATCAGGGATTGTTCTATCAGGATTATGGGTCCTTATGTGCCCCATGAAAGCATTGTTTCTGGGCGAGAAACCATGAAAACCTTGGCGAGCCCATTGTTATAGGTAGAGAGCGGTCATAATGTAATGGCTCTTCGGTGTATAACGAGACCCTTATTTCATGAAGCAATGTAGATTGGAAAATTGGAAACAGCTTTTAAGTTACTAAAAATTTCGATGTAACTGTTGATATTTATACTTGACAACACCAATTCGTTCATTCTTTTTTTTACTAAATTTATTCTTATTTTCTTGTAAATTCATCAAGTCAAGGCATCAACTCTAGCATAAGCTTATAAAATGAATGCTTATAATTTTTTTTTCTTTATAAACCGATAAATAAACATTATTTAAAGTTTAAAAAAATATTCGCCATAAGCGCACTTAAAATTGCAATAACTTCAAAATAAATTGGAATTTTGGATTGGAATTTTGTGCCTAAATGGAAATGATCATTTAAGCATGCTAAATTCCAATTTTGTCGTAAAAAATAGGGTGGGTAAAAAAAATGGCTGATACATTATTTTTTACAGATTTAAGAGTTGATAATTCTTGAGCCAATAACCGAATCCAATTTTTTCTTTTAATTTTGCTGCTTGTATATTTTCTTCTGTATATTTTTTTAATTCAGCTTCATTAATTAAACATTTTAAATCTTAACTTTTTTTGCAAAGCAAAACAACATGTAATGAAAAGCAAAATAAGTGAGAAAAATTCTCAAACAGAGATCTTAAAATTTCAATAACTTTTCAATAAATTAGAATTTAATAGAAACCTTGTGTTAAGTTCATGAAAAAATGGCCTATTTAGAATATAAAATTTCAATTTTGTATTTGCCTTTTTGCGACCTCCAGACAGACCCGAAAGGTATTTTTTGCTAATATTTCGAGTTAAATATTTAATAATTCTCAACCTTACTAATGAATGTCACAGATTTTTTACATCATCGTACTCCCTGTACTTTTTCTAGACACTATTGTAATTTCATGTTTCTAAGTCACAGTTCTTGGGCAGGAAAACGAAATTTAGTATAAAGTTAAACACCCAAAACGGCGGTGAAGCTTACAGTTTTTTAAGATAAAGAGAAAAACACAGATATTTCTTTTAACTAAGGCTAAAATTTCTGAGCTTGGAAATAAAATTTTAAACTAACTTTTCGGTAAAAATAGAAATTTTTCCGTAGCAGCTTAACAAGGGCCGATAGCGCACACTCGGTACCTACGCAGGCTGATCAAAATGGTCTCCATCCCCACACGTTAAGCTCAGCCAGTGATGCTTGCCTTCGGTGTTCTACTGGGAACCGTGTCTTTACGATAAGTCCACTGCCGGACGCACCTCAGATTAAAAAATAAATAATCGAGATAATGTATGATACATCTTAAGGTTTAATCCCAGTTGTAAAACAAAAACAAAAACGGTGGTGGATATGATTTCTCAAAAACTGATGTATCAACTATACTGATATTTCACACATCACTTCTACAAAATAAATTTGACTACTATAAAGAATTTAATTTTCGCAAACCACTTGAAGAATATAATTTTATTAAACTCATTTTCAAAGACAATGTATGGTTCATATTTTACCATAAAATGCCTTTTTTCATACAACTCATAAATTCAATTTTATTTTATTTTAATTCTTCGTTCCTTTACGAGAGTTATATAAAGAATAGAAACTATTTGGATTTCTTGATTTCACATAAAACTCTTGTGATTCATTTTACGGTGGCTATAAACCAACCTGTATCAACCCTGAGAACTATAAAAACGGTGAATTCGTAATTATATAAATGCTTGAACTAAGTTGAACTGAATAAATAGCTTAACTGTTACGTATCAGACTCTCTGAACATCCTAAAACGGTAGTGTGTTAGTAGCGGATTCGAATTCCACCACAAACCTTGACTTATTATTGTTACACATTGCTCTATTTATTGTTATACACATACACATGCGTATGCAGACTTGTGTGTTCATCCCAAACCCTATCTTATAAGTCGTTATAATGAGTCCAACTGAAATTCTTATAAAGGACCTGTATAATACGAAGGAAGCTATATTCGGTACCTAATATACTCATATGATATTTTGTACCTGTATTAGAGTATTTGGTATACGCCAGAACAACACCAATTATAACAACAACACAAATGTATTCCGGGCAATGGCACTTAACTAGACCTAGTATATATTTTGGACATTTACCAAAGGTCTAGTCATACTAGGTCTAGTTAAGTGCCACTGCCCGGTATACATTTGCCCGGTATACCCTACACTGATGTTTTTTTAAGGTCATTTGCCATTGCCCAGTATACATTTGCCCGGTATACCCTACACTGATGTTTTTTACGGACAAGTGCCATTGCCCGGTATATATTTGCCCGATACTCCAAACACTGATGTTTCTCCTAATCTATCGTCAGTATGTATTAAAATATTGAATAAATGTAATTATATCCACGAATAAATTAATATCAAATCGGATGTAATAAATATTTCGGACATTCACCAAAGCGACTATGTGATTGCCAACATTCACCGGTGAAAGTCAAAAACCACCGATTTCGGTCATTCACAGTAACATGCGCATCATTTACATAATAACCTCATCAGGACGTTTATTTCATACTCTGCCTAAATAGTATCCGGCATTATATAGAATGCCTAGGCATTGTATACAATGCCTAAGGAAAGCATGTAATATTTCTCACATTTCATACTTTGCCTAAAAACGTCAGACATTATGTATAATGCCTAGGGATTATATATAATGCCGGCGTTTCATACTTTGCACTAACATATATACTCAATTAATTGATGAAATAAGATAGCACGAGATAGAGAAGTACATTTCCATGAAACTTCTGAGGTAATAGCTGGATTCAAACCCGCTAGTTACTTATATGCTATTATTTAATAGAGATCTTTTATATAATTTAATTTTTTTATCCATTATTTGTTTATCCATTATGGGGCCTCGGGGATCTGTCAATTTTTGTTATTACCACTGACAACAGAAAGGCATCTGTGTGTTGGCAGGCAGTGTGTCCCCTGATGAAGTGCTGTCTTGCTAACACACATATCTTAAAATATTCCTCGTATATCTGACTTTTTTTTAAAAAAAAACTTGAAATGAAAATTAAGTTAAAAGTGTGTGGAAATAAAAAATATTATTGAAGGAAAAAGGCAAACTACAGTAAGAATTAAATATAACAGCACATCTAAATTTTTAAGTAAACATAAAATAACAAACATTTTAAATATATTTACTTCAAATAAGAATTTAGTTTTTGTAAAGTTTTAAATATCAGCATGTTATTTATTAAAAAAATGTTGACTAAAATAAATCCAAATTGAAAATCAATTAAATTATTAGAAACATATGAAAAATATCGTTCAAATTGTAAGATTTCTCTAACTTAAACAACAAATCTAGTTTTATGTAAAATTTAAAATATCAGTAAAGATAAAAGTTTTAAAAGTATATTAAGATTAAAACAAAAAAGTTTCGAAGGGAAAAAAACAAGATAAATTAAGAATCAAATACTACAGCAGATATAAGTGTAAAGTAAATATAAGTTAATAAATCTTTTTAAATGTACATCATACAATTTGCTCAAAAAATCACATTTTCATAAAATTTTAAAATTTGCTTATATACTTACTTATATTAAAATATGAATATTAAGTTAAGGAAATCTAAAAATAAAATGAATCTAAACTTTCAGAAACTATGATATGAACTTTCAAATCATAAAACCAATGCATAAAATAAAATAATAACTTAATAATGCAAAAAGGAAAATAATAACTTAAATAAATGAAAAACTTGATAGTATTTTTAAAAATATGAAAAGATAATAATTTAATATTAAAAGAACATGTAAAAAGATGGCAGAATTGTTAAGTAAATATAAGATAATAATCGTCAAGTGTACAAGTTAAACAGAAAAAAAAATTTTAAAGTAAAATTTAGTGGATACAAAACTTAGTAAAACTAGAATTTATATAACAAAAATAGTAAGAATATAATATAATATCAAATCAAGATCAAATAAGTCCATAAATACTTTAAGTGTATGTAACTCCAATAATTGAGACCTATAAATTTTTAAATGAAAGCATATCGAAATAATAAAATATTAATGCATTTTTCAAAGTACTTACCCAAGAAAAATATTTTAACCAGCATTTCTTTTTAACAAAAAATATCTTTAAATACAATATACTAAAT